CAGAATTGGCCATGTCTTTGAGGCAAAAGTCAGCCAGGGTCTCCAGGTAGTGTTGGATCATATCCACCATTATAATAAACAGACTGTTATTTACTTTGAGGGACACCTTACTAAGCAGCTGATTCATGAATATGTCTACTGTTGTTTTGAGACAATGAGGTTAGATGCAAACACACTGGAATATACTGGCAGATATCAGGGACAGCATTTCGAAATAAGACACTGCAAATCTGTCAAAACAGAAAACCATACTCATAAATTTGCTCTCTACTATCTGTTTACCCAAGTTATAATACCGCCACCAACTGTGTTCTTTACCAATGGTCTGTCCAGTCGAAACCAGCCATTATTATCGACGACCAACAATCCTGTTGTCAACGGCGATGAAAACTATGATTTTTGGATCGTCAGGGCGCATGCATTACGGTATACTGACAGACTCGGTAAAGCGAACAGTTCATTCAGTTTTGGAATGAGGATGAGGAACCAGCATTTACAGAAGAAGACGAATGGACTTTTCATTTCTACCGATGATGTCCTCTTGGCAGTCCAACCACATTTTCGACCTCGTTTATTCGATCAATGAGGCAAGTCACCAGTTTATAATCTTGGAGCCGATGTCATCGCACTGGGGTGAGATACAGTTACGGATGAGAGTGACAGATGCTGCAAATCAACGCTCACTGATTGTCAAGGTTTGACGCGCCAGCTTATAACTCGAACCGACCGTTCAGTGCTACGTCAGCCTCAACCAGTGTTGGTAGGTTTGCAATTTGCTAATTGTTTCTCAATCAATCAGTCAATCACTTTAATGATTTTAATCGACCAATAAAAAATTCGCCTTTCAGCCCACAGAAAACGTCACAGCACTCATATGTTACCAGATAGGCTAACTGGCAAAAAAATGCGCACCTCAAACAACGTACGGTCGAGAATTGACCGGCTGTTGGTAGATGGTACAATCAGCAATCGAATGGCCTTCGGCTACAGGTGTTTCAGAGCCATCTACAAGAGACTTTGCTACCTGCAACGATGATGATGTTGGTTTTTCGTTTGCTGCGTTGAGGAACTGTATTCTGCGGATGTCTAATATGCAGATTTTCGATGCCAACCTCGCATCAGCCTTTGTTACTACAAGGAAGTGAAAACTACAATTAAACGCGTATATTTGTTTAAAAATATCTAATGGTTGAAGATACATAAAGTATAAACAAATATGCAGGACTTTTTACACAAATACTCTGACACCTCTATCTATTGCAAGCGCCATGGCCAATACATTGCTTAAACACGATGGAACGAAGTCCCTGTAAAAATTGTTGTTCCTAAGCAGATTTTACCCGCATCTTTCAAGTGTAAAGGGCTCCATTCCGTGTTATCCCCCAATTTTAGTTACTGTCCTCCCTACAGAAATATTACAATAAGATTAATCTTTAAGTTCCTGTCTGTGCTACGTTTTACCACAGTGAATTGACACGTGAACGAAAAGAAACCAAAGATATATGATACTGACACGCCATCCATGAAACGGTGATCTAGATCGCATAAATCTGTTAGGAGCATAATTTTCATCTTGGCGATATGCTTTGAAAAGCAGTCATGCAGCATTAGCAGCTGCGGAAAGACCATCATCGATTACGGTAAAACGAAAGTTTCGTAACAACCGTAGAAGTAAGTCATATACGTTGATTCATATATGGGGCTGATTTGAATATTGGTGTCTTTTGACCAAGAGTGAGGCAGCGCAGCCGAGCCTAAGGGCAGTCGCAATTCCATGCAAATGCATACATGCCTACTACCAGTTTCGTAGGTGTTCGGTGATCGGTGGATCGACAGTATAAATGTGCAGTGGCTGCGCGAAGGTTGCTTTGCTTGCTTTCTTCATTCGCCATACCGACCGAGCGTGCGATGTACAGGAGATGGGCAGTTTTACTAAGGGCGAATAGTTTGGTTTACCGTCACGAAGGTATGAACGATCTGTTTCACAGTACTCCCTCGGAGACTCATTTATAGTATGGAGAGGCGAACGAACGAATTGGTGTGAACGACGGCGCTGAAACGAGGCGACCAGAGCAAAACGGGTTTCAGATGGTATATGTGCTGTTTTTTCCTCGA